GAGACGTTATTATCCATGCCAAATGGTTACTTGGCTTTATATTAAAAGTCCAAACATTTCAAATGATTAAGCCCCAAAGTGAAACTTTTAAATTTTGATATTCCTTTTGTATATGATTTCTGAGTCAAATGGACGCTTTTGCATCTGAGTCAAATGGACGCTTTTGCAAATCACTATAGTTCTTAGAAGGAAACACACTCTTGTGGAACAGAGACCCTGCTGCGCAGCCACAGAGCCAACTCACAGTGCGGTCAAAAACAGATTAGGAAATAGGATACATTGGCAAAAACGGTTTGAGACTGCAGAGTTAATTAAAAAAACGCAAGTGTAACCACCACTACTACTGCAGCCTGGAGCTGAAGCTGAGCCTCCCAGCCCACGACTCCCACCCTCTGAACTGGACACGAGGAACGACAGGCAGTGTGCGTAGACGAATACACTGCACTCAACCACTCACTCACACACACTCAGTTTTGCTTTAAATATACCAACATGCTGGCTAATAAAGTTTTAATCTCTAGTTATCTAATACTTATATACTTTAAGATAGGCAGTAAGCTCAGACAACTAAGGCCAGTGGCTCTTCTTTGGGGAGAGGCCGGAAAAGAGACCTAAGTATAAAAATACTAAAGTTTTAACCTGGTCCATAGCCTGTCCTAAAATTCTTTTACCTGTGTCTAGATGCTAATTTGTGCAACCGCAGGCCTGGAGGGCAGTCCCAGATCTCTGGAAGCCCTGATCTGCTGCAGGGCTGGCGATAGTTCTTTAAGGTGAAGAGGATGAGGACGCAGTGCTAGGAGGGTGGTTTGGGCTGCTGTAAAACTGACACAGGAACATAAATGATACGCTGGGCACTTAGCTAATTCTTCTGAAAGCTCTATTTTTCTGGACTAATTACAACAATAAAGAACGTGTGCTTTAAAGCATCACATTTTGTAATAAGCCCCAAATTGTCAGTTTGACTTTATGTTTAAGTGCTCTTAATACTGAAGTTGCTAAGACTGCACAGGCTGCCTGTGTTTTTTTTTTTTTTTCCCCTTTCTTTCTGTATATTTCAAATTATAATGAGCTACAGCCCCACCCCGGGTATTGTACACAGTACACTGAAATAGTTTAACAAAGTTAGTTCAGAGCCATTTTTGCTCTGGTGATTCAAAGCTCACAGACGAAATTTTCTAGCATAAAATCTTATCATTAAAAAAATTAATCAAAATATCATTTGAATTTAAGTTTAATAAAACAGTACCACTGTATAGACTCTCAAAAACTGCATTATATATTCAATCCTATGAGGTTTTTACTTGCATTTCATATCACACTGGTTAAGGACAAAAATAAATTTGATGTACATATGCCATATACTGATGTACAATCTACACGTTGATACAATATAGATACATACAACTATAAATACCCACAACTACGACATTGGAAGGTGACAGAAGGCATACTCTTGGATGCCTGACATACTATCAATATTCTCCAAAAGCCTGCAACACTACAGACACACACGTAAATTACAAAGAATGAGCCAAAGAGACCTAAGGAAACCTACTGTATATACAACTACTTAACTTGCAGTATTTTCTTGCTGTTGCAGTCAAGACCACAGACTGTCATGCAGATTCACACCTTTACTGGCACTCTCTCTCTGAAGACATTCTCTCTGCAGGCACTGGCCACTCACTGTCCTAGGCAGAGGCTTCCCGCTCGGGCTTTGGGTACTCTGGGCACAAAAGGAAAATGGCAATGGCTTTGGACCTTGGTCCTCCTTTTGAGAGTGAGACACTGAGAAGAGGGCAGAAGTGGTGACAAAGCACCTTTCATCACTGTTGGGTTATTCTGTGTGAGCTACTGGTCTCTGAAGTCCTCTGGGTAACTTGGTACTATAAGATGTCCAAGGCCAATGGAGACACCTGTTGCCCGGGGCAGACTGTTGGCCTGGGAGAAGAGACAGCCAGAAAGCTTTGGAACCAGGAAGGCCCAGAGGCTCATCTCCTTACAAAAGCTGATCTTCTGTCAGAGTAACTCAGATGCTCCGTGAGAAAAGCAGGTGCTAGTTAAGCCCAAGTCACACTAGTCGTTAACCAGGCTCTACTGTGAACAAGTCCTGGGTGCCACTTTGATTCCTGTTTAACAGCGCTAATCTTATAATTGCAAAAATTCTGACAATTGAAAAGTGAAGGGATCAGGAGGTTGTCCATTGTTGCAGCTAAGGAAGGTGGCTCCCCACCTGCTGAACCCTTGGCCCGGTCCACAACAGCTATACTACAGAGCTTTGGACCACAAGGCTGAGAATGCCCTGTGAACTTGGCCTTAAAAAAGCTTAACAAGGAAAAATGCCAAAGAATCAAATTCCAGTGACCACTAACTAAACCCAAGAAAGTGTTCAAAGTAAGACAATGGAGAAACTTCTTTAAGGTCAATTTTCTTCCAATTGTCTATGATTAGGGATAAAGGCAGAGAAGAGGTGCAGCTCGAGGCCAAAGCAAGCCCTGCCCTACCTAAGAATGTCTTCCCCGGCTCTTTCTGTGCTGGAAGGACAACAGGCCAGGGCTGGCAGGAGGCTCCTTCCCTGCTGGGTATGTAAACCCCTCTCCAGCCTCAGGGGTTCTGTGCTTTGGCCACAGGGTGAAACACAAACACAAGAGACCAACCCTAGACTGGCCTTGGAGAGCCAGCCAATTTTTCTCTCCCAGAATTAACTCCCTCACGTCACTTCTGACCAGGAAACACTCATCTTTGGAATGAGGATCACAGCCGGAGAAGCAAAGACGGTCCTGCACAGGTGCTCTCCATCCTCTTTACGCAAGAGCAACAGAAAAGGTTCACATGGTCCAGGACTGCAGTCCCCCAGACGACTCTCCACACGAGGTAATTAAAATGTGCAGAAGTGTTGCTTGGTTTAATCAGGCATTACTAAGAGTCAGCAAATGATATCTGTAAAAAGCATACTTCAAATAATGTCTATGGCTGGCAATAAAATAAAGACTCTTGCATGCTAGTAATTAGGTTTCGATTGCTAACAAGGAAATCCTGACCCCTCCCTGTAAATGTCAACATGTGAGGTGGGGGAACACACTCTGAGACACTTTGGTTCTGGTTCCACACACGGCTGCTTCTATGGACAATTCGGCAACAAGACCGTCACCAAGGTATTTTGATGACTCTCAAGATTTTCTATACTAAAAATTAATATTAGGTGTATTTCTGCAAAGAGGAATAATAACTTATTAGATGGAGAGAGATCGCAAGGCTCCTGGTACTAAGGGATGGGTGAGGGATGGGGGGCAGTACCTTCAGAAGGGAAGGAGGGGGCTCCCCTGTACCGTGAACTGGGTGGCAGGCGTGGAGGAACTGTGAAGGGGAAGGTCTTCAGTCATGTCTCCTGACTAGACACCACGGGAAAGAAATGATCACAAAGGAGACCCTGGTTGGCTATGGGCAAGGCTCTCAGGATCCTGTCACAGAAGGGGCCTTGTCTCCTACAGGATAAGCTCTTGGCCTGCAAGGAGCACTGGCACTAGACAGTCCAGAGGCCTCAGGGGGAGGTGTTCTCAGCCCATCCCCTAACGATGGCAGTCTGGGATCACGGCTCACAAAATAACCGTTGCAGTTGTTTTTCAAGATAAACTATGGGAATGCAGTATATACCACAGCTTCAAAAGTGCCCTTCTCATCTGTCTCTCTATTAGCATATCCAGAAGTTCTTGGAGATAACAGTGAGTCACACAGTGAGCACAACGCCGTCGTGGTGCTGATGTTCACTGGGCATTTCAGAGCTGCTCGAGTGTCTAAACACTGCAGCAAGGTACCATTCCATGTCTGGTACAGACTCTAAGTGACACACACGGAGACATTCGACATACACAGACACACACATACTGGGAGCACACACATTCAAGCCAGTCAGGGATGTTGATTCTTCTTTAGTTATTGAAGCTCAGAGATGATATGGTCTAGGTACCTCTCTCCCCTCTGCTTAGGATAAAGATCTAGGCAGAAAGCACACACACTGATGATTCAGATTCTAGGAAGAAAGACTATTCCCTTGTAGAAACCTTGGATTCAGTCAGAAGCTACAAAGAAAGAATCAGGTACATGGGCCATGTTGGTAACTACCCTGTTTGTTTCTAGGTCTTGAAACCTAATAAACAAGATAGAGGGTTAGAGGGAGTTTTTCAAATGTGTGGCAAAAACACCACAAAGCAAGCAGCTACAACCTTACGGAGGGGTTTCTCCTTTCTGGGCACCAGCAAGTATGGGCATTTCTACAGCTGAAGGAAGGGCATGTTAATAAATAGTCCTGTATAAATGCTGGTGCATCAGAACAAAATACCACTAGAAAGTACCATGGTTCAGGAGCAGGTTTTCTCTAATTCCCTGGAGCCATGCTACCCACACAGAGTCCCTGAGCCTCTAGTCACACAGCACCTTAACTAGTAAACCAAGTAGAAAAGAGCAAATCTCTGTGGGAGAGAAAAGAACATTCGAAGTGATTCCATTCACTCTGAACTTGTGGAGATTCTAGGTTTAAGGATCACAGAGTTTTCAGGTTCCAAAATCAGAAAGTTCTAACTCACAGTGGGCTCAATTTTCATTCCTTTCTTCTCCTCAGTAAGAGAATGTTCTGTTTATCACCCTGAATTTCAAAGGGACTGTCCCTGGAATAAGCTTACGACTGCTCTGAGCAGATACAAAGAAATGATTTAGAATCAAGGGTTTATTTTAGGGTGAAGCGGCTTCACAGAGACAGAGACAAGAACAGACTAAGGGACTCTGTGTTTGTCACCAGGAGATTCCTCAGTTTTCCAGCCATAATTCCTTCAGATTTTATTCCTTTCAGATTTATTGTAAAGAATCAACATTCTATTGCCAAACAACTATAGGGAAAAACAACTTTTTCCTTCCTTATTTTGCTTTATTAAGGAAAGAATGAAAGGGGCTCCATTTTGATATTATTTTGTTAGGAAGACCCCAAATGCTTACAACCAGGAGACAACACCATGCCTATATATATAAAAGAACCTAATTCCCGGATGGCAGGGTATCCACCACAGATGGCTCTGGATTCCTTGTCTAGACGCTGTGGGAGTGGGGTAACAACTTCCTGCAGATCAAAAACACATCTCGCTGCTGCAGCCCCCAAGAGTCCATTGTTGCCACCATCCTTTAGAAAACAAAATGAACTTGGGGCCACCTTGCCTCAGCCTTCAAAAGACGCCACTTCCTCCTTCCTTGCTTGGCTGAAATGGAATCTACACTTCAAGCGAGCTAACGTGCTTCTTAAATTCCCCAGGCCTGAGGTCCTTGCCCCCCTCTACCCCCACCAGCAGGGCCGGACTCAACACTAAGCACTCAGATGCATGAGGCCTCACAGGGGAGTGGCACCTCCCGTGAGTGTAACTCTTAACTGAACTTCTGCGAGCGCGAGAGCTGGATTCTACCTCTGTGACTGGGCAAGATTTCACATGAAAAGGCTTATATTAACTCTGGCTAGAATTTTCTAAACTACAAAGTTTGTCCAGTTAAGTGTTTCACAATGGATTAAATCTTTAACCTTTATAAAAAGTGTTAACAGCTGATTTGAGAACACACAAAACTGAGCAGAGTGCAAATGAGAGAACCCTGAGGGAGAAGCGATACATAATCCATTCTGAAATCATGATCCCCTCCCCTCACAAAAGGTGCATTAGTTATCAGGTAGCAGAAATCATCAAAGCAAAGAAATCAAGAGCAAAGAGACAATCTGTACAGAAACTAACAAAAATATACAATAGGAAAGGTTACTAATGCACCATTTAGTCACAGACTTTGTTTTAAATATATTCACGGATTCACCAGAAAGATCTTGAAAAACTCTATTTTGCTCCACGACCAGCACTTCCTGGCCGCAGATGGATTCTAAGTGACTTTTTGCTTAATGCCTGGAGTTTCAGGTCGGTGGTCTTTCCTTTCCGACACGTTTCGCTTGACCTTGGCGGTGACCGGAGATGCATCTGGGTTCAGCGAGGGGCTGGAGTGCGACTTCTTCAGGCCCACGGCGCCCCCTCCACCGCTGCTACTCAGCAGCTCCAGGCCCCCCTCTTTCAGAAGGCGGACATACATCTCATAGCGGGTTTTCTGCAGGGAGTCAGAGAAGAGGGGTCAGTATACTGTCACAGGCACACGGCGCAAGGCGCCAGCGAGCTCACTTCCCGAAGGGCAGGGCTGGCAGCTCAGGAGGCTGACTGATGGTTTCATCGATTCGGTAAGACATAAAGATAGAATGTGAGTTCTCCTTCATTCTGCATTCTGCAGGAATGGCTATGAGATGGAGGAAGCCTGCTTCCTGAACACTCAGCACAAGAAAGTGTGAGTTGGAAGAGCTGCGGCCTCCGGTTTTGGGGACCAGATGGCTCTCAGGCTCAGGCCTGCAGCCACTGGGGCCGCCCCACAAGGCCGTGGCCAAGGCCTCCCCTGAACCTGGCTGGGGTGCGGTTCTTTACTCCCAACTTGAGGAAGCAGTTGGTGGTGAACCTGTACTCCTGTCCCCTACGGGACCACTAACACTTCCTCGAAGCTGCTCTGGGTTTCCTGCTACGGCTTTTCTGCTAGGATTACCAACTTCTCAGAGTACTATGGTTTCTTGCAAAACTTCAAATTATCCCCTGATGCTGTTCTTTATTCTACACATTTTTTTTCATCAACTGTTCATTGAGTGTCTACTATGTTTTGAATGGCTCCTTGATTTTCTTGCCTCTGGGTATCTTTTTCTAAGAATAATTGAGAAGAACACTGCAGAGATTTTTTTTCTCTAACCTTTACTGGTGCTGCTCTTCTTTTCTTAAGTTTGTATCTGAGTCACTATATAGAGCTACTGTGTACATAGTGCAAATTACAGAAGGGTCGCAGATTCTCGATTTGATAGATTCTAGTCAAAATAAGTCTCTCATCATACTGCTTCAACACATGAAGGATCTGTAGAAGGCCTAAAGTATTTTCTTTCTCAGCAAAAGAACAGCTCAGTTATAAATTGTCCCAACAAAGGCAGCAAAGTCTTTTATAACTCTAAGTCTTTTAGGGATTTTTCTGGTCAAATTGAGATTTTATATATCTGTTTTAAATTAATAATTATGAACGTGAAGCTACTTGAAGCTACTCTTTCAAGTTGTTTTGTTCAAAAGTAGGGAAAAGCTGCTAGTCATTAAGCTTGCTCTGGGTTTGGTCAGTAGCCATGTTGAGGTGCCAAGCTTTGGTTGATGATGATTACATTATGGTGTGCCCACAGGCTAACTTGAGGGCATTAACACAAGAATCGTATACAATTGGTACGTTATTATCCCTGTTTTACAGTAAAGGAAATAGAGGCAGAGATAAGTCCAAGACAGTAAAGAAGTGAAGCTGGGATATGGACTCTAGAACCCATACTCTTAAGCTGCATTTCCTTCCTGGGTATGAAAATATATGCAGGAATGTGTATTTTAGGATGACAACTCTGAGAGACTCTGTAGGTTTGGCCAATCAAAAGCCATTTTCAACCCCCCTCTTCTCCTATGTCCCTCCCACTGTTGATAAAACCAAATACTTACTTTCCCAGACACTCTTGCAGCTAAGATGGGCTGTGTGATGTTTTGGCCACTGAGATATAAGGAGAACTCTCCTGGGGGACTTCTGCGAAAGCGATTTTGCTTTCTGATGAAAGGGGCAGGTTGAGAGGAGAAGCCACTGGTGCCAGCCCCTCACTCTTATTCCTTCCTTGACATGGATGTGATTCCTAAAGCTGTAACCCTGTGAAATGAGGCAGCAGGCGTGAAGGCAAAAGGACAGCATGCTAGGCCTGAGGGGAAATGGAAAGACAGAAAGAGCCCGGGTTCTTGATGACACAATGAGCTGGATCCAACTCTCAAAGCCCTTACTGCCTCTGACCGTCTTGTTAAGTATGAATAATAAATGCCCTTTGGGGTTAAGCCACTGTTAATCAGGTAATGGTTTTTTCCACCACATTTCTTCCTTCTAGTTTCTTTTGAGCTATAATTGACACACAGCACTGTATAAGTTTAAGGTATACAGCATAGTGATTTGATTTATATACATCATGAAAGAATGATCACAAAATGTTTAGTGAACATCCATCATTTCATATAGATACAAAACTAAAGAAATCGAAAAATTTGTTTTTTCCTTGTGATGAGAACTCAGGATTTACTCTCCTAATGACTTTCATACATAACATACAGCAGTGCTAATTATATTTATCATGTGTTTCATTACACCCCTACTACTTATTTATCTTATAACTGGCTGTTTGTACCTTTTGACTGCCTTCATCCAATTTCCCCCTCCCAACTGGCAGCCAGAAATCTATTCTCTTTTTCTATGAGTCTGTTTATTCGTTTATTTCTTTTTGATGTATAATTGACCTACAACACTATGTTAGTTCCTATTACACAACATAGTGATTCAACATTTCTATACATTTCAAAATGATCACCATGATAAGTCTAGTTACCAACTGTCACCACTCAAAGATATCACATAGTTACTGGCTATATTCCCCATACCCTTGACTCATTTATTTTGCAACTGGAAGTCTGTGTCTCTTGACCTCCCTCACCTATTTCTCTCCCCACCCTACACCTCTCCCCTCTGGCAACCACCTGTTTGTTCTCTGTATCTATGACTCTGTTTCTGTTGTTACGTTTGTTCATCTGTTTTGTTTTTAATAGATTACATGTATAAGTGAAATCATATTGTATTTGTCTTTCTCTGACTTATTTCACGAAGCATAACACCCTCTAGGTCCATTCATGTTGTCACAAATGGTAAGATTTCATTCTTTTTTATGACTGAGTGGTATTCAATTGTATATATACCACATCTTCTTTATCCACTCATCTGTTGGTGGACACTTATGCTGCTTCCATATCTTGGCAATTGTAAATAATACTGCTATGAACATTGGGTACATTATCTTTTTGAATTAGTGTCTTCATTTTCTTTGGATATATACACAGAAGGGGAATTGCTGATCACATGGTAGTTCTGTTTTTAGTTTTTTGAAGGACTGCCATACTGTTTTCCACAGTGGCTGCACCAATTTTATTTTTAACTGAAGTAGAGTTGACTTACAATGTTGTGTTAGTTTCAGGTGTATAGCAAAGTGATTCAGTTTTATATAAATCTGAAAAAGAATATATATATTCTTTTATAGGTTATTGCAAGATATTGGATATAGTTCCCTGTGCTATTACACAGTAGGTCCTTGTTTATCTATTTTATATATAGTAGTGTGTATCTGTTAAACCCAAACTCCTAATTTATCCCTCCCCGCTGGCTACACCAATTTACAATCCCACCAACACTGTAGGGGGGTTCCCTTCTCTCCACAGTCTCGCCAACATTTGTTATTTGTGTTCTTTTTGATGATAGCCATTCTGACAGGTGTGAGGTGATATCTCACTGTGGTTTCGATTTGCATTTCCCTGATGATTAGCAATGTTGAGCACCTTTTCTTGTGCCTCAAGTACTGTTAATTGCAGATGAAAGCATCACTAATTGATACACATTCCAATTTTAGTATAGAAGTAACAAAGGAATAAAATATTAATCTTTTCTCAGAAAGCTATTAATACATAAGGGTTTAATAAGGGCATATGCTAATAAAAATATGTCATAAGTATTACACAGTAGTCTATGCATCAGTGAAATCTAAAGTCATGTTCATTCTAGGAATTTAGAGACTTAATCTGTCTCTAAACTGCCTTGGTGGCAAGAATAAAATGCAGGAAAGAACTGTATTTTAATATGAATAAGGTTTAGTAAAATGATCTAAAGACAGTTTAAAAATACATTCAGAAAATCAATGTAAGGCATACTATTTCACAAAACTAGGGCATTTATACAATAAGAGGGATATGAAGGACAATTTTTTGAGATGACTTGCAAGAGGACAAAAGAAGAAAAGGTGACTGGGCCATTTTGTACTAGCTTTTGAAGAAACTGACATTATTGGGAAAATTCACCAAAACATGCATAAATTAAAGCAATTTCATCCACTCATTTTACAGCTCCAGCTGCAAATCTGTTGCCCCCATAAATTACATCTGTGTGTCAATCAACAAACAAAAGGCAGAGCACAGAGGAGTGGCAGTACATGAATCATCAGATGAGAAGAAAAGGCAAAGCAAAGCAAAGGGTGAAAGGGGGCCGGCAACCAGGACTGCTCAGATGTTGAGAAAAATAAGGAAAAAAATAATGTGGGTTTGTTTAGGAACTTCCAATGGCTGTGCTCTATTTCTGAGTTAAAAGGGCTTACAGGGACACAGGCTACTAAACCCAGTAATACAGCTTTGCTTTCTACCATTCTCTGTGGCCAAGCCAAATTCCTCTTTAAAATATTTTAGGAAAACTTATCTTTAATCTCAGGACTCTTCAGTACTACTGGAAGGACTGTGATCTACGTTCTTCTGGGATTACAGACTCACCAAATTTGTAAACCTCTATCCAGAGGCTTTGGGGCCAAAAAAAGATTGCCTCTGAGCAAAGACAGGCAGCTCTGAATGCAGCCCGAGGAGTGAAGGGTTAGGACTGCCTGCAAAATTCTTCTCCAAGACCTCTCCTGACTTCTCCCCTCTGGGGTGGCAAAGTCAGACTTCTTCCTAACAATGCAACCATGTGCCATCTTTGGGAGGGTTTATTTCCTTTTTTCCTTTCAGAGAAGACATGACTCTTTTTTCTAAGACCAATCCTGAAATTTTTTTTAGGTTAGAGCTGGTGTTTAGGGAAAAGCAGAGCAACAGCAGGAAGTGTACTTCTCAATCACTTTTTAACCTGATGTGCCAGTTTAGAGACTGAAAACCTGAGGGTCATGTTCCAATGGTCAATCTCAGCCAAAGAAGCTGGTAGAGGACAGAGCAGCAAACACTGTTTGCTGCTTCCCTAGCAGCCTCCTCTTGCAGCTGACGGAGTTGTGCTTTTCACTGAGGGTGTCATGTTCTAGCCTAACCCCAGGACAGGAATCGTGGTCTAACATTGCCAGTCAATGTTGCAGCCCTGTGACCTAGACCTGGCCAGTGACATGTAAGGAGAGCCGACTAGGGTACTTCCATGGAAGCAGTTTTTGGTGCTCTGATAAAAGTTGG